GACGGCGGCGGCGGCGCCCTCAACGGCGTGCGCCACGGACCCGCGGCCGAGCGGCGCCCGCGCCGCAACTCGCTGACAGGCGAGGAGGGCGAGCCGGCGTGCGTGAGCAACTGGCCGCTCTACTACCTGTTCTGCCTGGGCACCGAGCTGGGCAACGAGCTCTTCTACATCCTCTTCTTCCCCTTCTGGATCTGGAACCTGGACGCCCTGGTGGGCCGCAGGCTGGTCATCGTCTGGGTGATGGTCATGTACCTGGGCCAGTGCACCAAGGACGTGATCCGCTGGCCGCGGCCCGCCTCCCCGCCCGTGGTCAAGCTGGAGGTGCTGTACAACTCCGAGTACGGCCTGCCCTCCACGCACGCCATGTCCGGCACGGCCATCCCCATCGCGCTGGTGCTGCTCACCCACGGCCGCTGGCAGGTAAGTTGCGCCCGCGCCCCGGCCTTGGGCGCGTCCCGGCCCCGCGCACCCGCGCCGCACGCGCTTGAACACACGAAGTGCTGGAGGGAGCCTGGAAACTTAGCCAATAAATCCTGTTTCCCAGCAGTGCTTTTCTGAGAACCAAATGCTTTGGGTGCAGAAACCCATTCTCAGTGGACTTAAGTTGAGTGTTTGAACCGTTTTCCCTCCCAGGTGCGCAGTGGGAGTGCACGACCCTCAGAAACAGTCGCTTGGAGGCCAAGACCCAGTTTCTCCGAGTATTTCTGGCTTCCCCAGAACTGATTCTGTTCCGGACTTGGGTGAAGTCCTCTGCTTTCTTAGGAGACAGTGTTTACAAAACTGCAGGGTGGTTCCAAAGCGATGAAATAAGGGATTTTAAACAAAAGGTGCCCTTTTTGGAAAGTTAATGGAGCCGAGTGTAAGCAAGTTTGTTTTTATGGGGGTTGGTAATTTGCTGATTGACACACAGTTTCATTGTCTTTTGAATCATTAATCTGTGGAATCGGTTTTGAGCTGTTACGGTATTGCCTTAACTGTAAAAGCGCAAAAGTTCATTGTTTTAAGTTATTCTCGAAGCTAGCATTCTTGATTAGACTGATGGATTTATGAAAAGGACTAATACTGCCGCAGGGTCAAGCTTATGATAAAGGATGGGTATTTCTTGGTAGTCATTTCTAATCTTGCCTATGTCTACTGGCCCTCCTCAATTTTGAGTTCTCCGTGGTCCACCTGTGTTACATAGGTTTAAAAACTATCACATTATGGAAGTAGCATTCTTGGTCTGCCCCTGGACTTGCTTTATCTCTCTTAAACTGTAAGATTTATTGGTTTAGCAGACCAGTCTCTTGAAAATAAAACACAATGGTAAGGAATCTAAGGAAGCTGACTTCCTCTAGTTTTTCTTTTGCTGACCAGAATTATTTTATAATTGAGAAATAAACATTCTATGTAACATTCTCTCATGATAAATTTGCTTGCCCCACATTCAGTTGCAACATAGGAAATGTCTTGTCAGGGTGTGTAGTCCTGTGTCCTCTTTTAAGTAACAGAAAATATGTGCGTAGTTAACAATGGCAGAATTAAGAGGGAACAGTGCTGCAGACAGTCCTTCGCTGTTTAATCAAAGGAGATGTACAGTGACTCTTAGATTATAAAAAGTGCTGTTTTCTTTGGTAAATATCTCAAAATGTTCATGTAATCTATTTTTCTTTGCAGTACAGGGTTGAATCCAGGGCTTCCCACTTGCTAGGCAAGCGCTTAACACTGAGCTGTGTCCTTTCACTTTTTAAATTTTTTTACTTTGAGAGGGGCTCTTGCTGTGCTGCCAGGCTGGCTTTAAACTTGAGAGCCTCTTGCTTCAGCCTCCTGAGTAATTGCAAGCATGTGCCATCATCCTCAATTTCATCTAATCTTAAGTATTTCAGAATTTAGTACTATTAGTGAGTTATATTTATTTAGCATAATATTTACTGTAAGATGTTTCTTGTTCTCATGAGATGTTCAGGATTCTAAGATTGAGAGGCCTAATGCCTCCTCAATGAGTAATTAGGTTGTATGGTGTTATTGTTAGTAGTGCTTATAAGAGTAAATAGTCGTGTTTACTCTTCATTTATCCACAATATATGCTGACAGGAAGTCTGAAAATGGTACTACTGAATTATATATGGTAGCTACTACTATTCTAACATTTCAGAATAGTTTGAACGGTCAGATTAAACTTGCATTGTAGCTTTAAAACAATCTGTTTTCAATTGAAAGTTTGAAGAATTTGTATGCACAGTTTTAGAAATTTGAGCTATGCACGATGTTAGAAAGCACATATATAAGTCATTTTACAGATGTGAGAACTGTTCAGTGACATTGGAGTTACTTTTATAATGACTTAACTGCCTTTCTTTTTTTAGGGGTGGTTAATTTACTATGGCCCAGGCTCATACTCTGCAAAAATTCTCCTGCCTTAGCCTCCTAAGCGCTGGGGTTACCAGTGTGTGGGCCGCTGCACGTGGCTCTGGTTGAATTTTTTTTTTTTTTTTTTTTTGGTACAGGGTCTACAGGGACTACAGGGTCTCACTACATAGATCAGACCTGTAGTGATCCTCTTTTTTTTTTTTTTTTTTTTTCAGAAGCCTGGTGTGTGGCAGCGCATGCCTGTGACCCCAGCACTTGGGAGCCTGAGGCAGGAGGCTCATTGGGAGTTCTAGGCCCACCTGAACTGCATAGTGAGACCCTGTCTGAAACAGACAAAAAATAGGGTTTATCTTTATAAATATTTGCCTGTAATCAGTACAGAAACCAAAATGGCTCTTTGCTCCTTTACTCTCCCTCAGTCTTTGTTGTATATTACCCACGTTGTTTTCTGTCCGCACCCACCTTGGTGGCCCATCCTGTCCTTTGCAGCTGGGTGATCAGGACAGGTGTGGCTGCTTCTCTGTGCCCACGCTGGCCTGCTGAGAGCCCTCCCAGAGTTGAATCATCTCTCCTGCCCGTCATCCGGCAGCGAGGGTGACTGCTTGCTTCACTCCCTGCTAAACACTTCCACCCTCCTTGACACTTGTTCACAACTCCTCCCTTTTAAGTTCACTCTTTGTTTCATCATTTTTTGCTTTGAAAGTGACAGCATACCAAAAGAGAAAAAAATTACCTGGGGGGTTTAAGAACAAATTTCTGTACCTTGAGCCTTGAGTTTCTGATCCCTTAGTTAAGTAAAGAACTTTGAGTTTTGCTGGAGGAAGTTCCCCCAAAGATGAGTATTTGAGGTTGGGGGGCTTAGCTCAGTGGCACAGCGCATGCATGGCAAGCGTGAGGTCCTGAGTTTGATTCCTGGTACCCCCTAAAAAAAGATTAGTATTCCACCTGAGGAATGATTGTTTCAAAAATAATGAGTTTTCTTTCTTTTTTTGAGACAGAGTCTCACTGTATAGCACTATGCTACCTCTTTCTTATGTCTCTGTTCTGGCACCTTACTTGTCAGAGTAGCTGTAGTGACACTGGATACACTGGCAGTGACTGCAGTCCCAGCCACTTGGGAGGTGGAGGCAGGAAGATCACTTGAATTCAGGTTTGAAAGACACCCCCTCACCCCAGCCCATGTTGGACAGTATAATGAATAGAACAGAGCAAAACAGGATGATAGGTGTTTGACCTTTATTATTATTTTTAACAGTAGCATATTAAATGCAGGAGAAGTGTTTGGGCCAAATAAAAGTAGGAAAAGTACAGTGCACCCTACAGCGTGAGGGTGGGGGATTTTAACAGATGACACAGTTGCCCACGGAGTTTGCATTCCCGCCAACAGTGTATGACAGAACCTGTTTTCCTATGCTGTGAGCTCGTGGTTGTAATATTATATTGTGAAACTTAATGATCTTCCCCCAAGATAATTTTAATTATTTAATTTGCATTTCTCTTATCAGTGAAGAGCTTTGTGTAGGATTATTGGCCATTTATATTTACTTCTCTTGAACTACCTGTTCTCTGGGGTTTTTTGTTAGATTGTTGATATTGGGTGGTTTTTTGTTTTTTTTTTCTTTTCTTTTTGAAACAGGATCTTGTTTTCCAACTCAGTCTGGCCTTGAGTTTACTTAGTAGCCCAGGCTGGTTTCAAACTTACAATGATCCTCCTGCCTCCTGAGTGTTGGGATCTCAGATATGGAACTTGCCTGGTCCAGCTTAGCATATAACTTCTTTTCACAGATTTTCTAGTGTAGATCTGTGAGCAGTGATGTTTTTGAGGTTTTCAGTGGGGACCAAACCTATGACCACTGTATCATCAGTAAAGCTACATTCCCAGCCCTTTTTATTTTATTCCATTTATTTCAGAACGAATTTTTTTGAGATATAGGGTCAGATTTAGTCTCTAAATTGGCCAGGTCGGGCTGGAGCTTGCCTGTTGCCTCAGGCACCCAGGGCCCTGGAGTACAGGTGTGCGCCTCCATGCCTTGCTTACTGCACCGCTGTATTTATTGTGGTGTTGGAGATTGAAACTCCAATCTTTTCATTTTTAGAACTTGCTAAATTGCCCACATCAGCTTTGACTTTCCGTCCTCCTGTCTCAATCTTTCTGGGAGCTGGAATTATAGGCAAGTGCTACCATGAATGACTAGCTTTTTCTTTTTCTTTTTTTGTTCAGACTGAATTGAACCCAGGGCTCTTGTACTGAGCTATAGCCCTTTTCTATTATTTTTATTTTGAGATAGGGTCTCATTAAGTTGTCCAGGCTGGGCTCAAACTTGTGGTTCCTTCCCTCAGCTTCCCAGAGTGTTGGGGTACCAGCATGCGCCACTGTGCCCAGAGACAGCTTCCCTTTTTCTTTGGAAAAATACTTTTACTTCATTTGGAAAAAATATTTTTATGAGATTTAGAATGGGGCCTAACTCCCCCCCCCCCATCACCTTAAATATGTTGCTCCACTGTCTGGTGTTTCAATAGGCTTTTTGTTTTTGTTTTAGACAGGGTCTCACTATACATTTCAGGCTGGCTTTGAATTCATTGTGTAGCCCAGGCTGGCTTTGAGCTCACTATGATCCTCCATCCTCATGCCTCAGCCTCCCTGGGATTACAGGTGTGCGTCACCACATCTGGCAAGCAATTTTCAAATGATGAGTTGTGATATGACTTTCCTTATAATTGACTTGGGGTTTATTGATGTTGAGTCTATGGGTTTCTATATTTCGTTATATTTGGAAGATGTTCAGCATTACTTCTAGGAGAATTTTCCCTGTCATCCTCCTCTTTGCAAATTCCAGTTTCATGTGTTAAAGTATTCTTCAGGGCACTAAGCTCAATTTGTTTATTTGTTTTGGACAGTGCTTTTGCTCTTTGTGCTTCCTTTTGGGTAATTTCTATTCCTGTGACTATGTTTGCCAGTCCTTTTTTCTATAACATCAGATTTTGGTAATTTTATCGAGCAGGATGGAATATATTTTCAGATACTGTGTATTTTGTATTTAGAAGTTCTTGGACTTTTTAATTTTTTTTTT